ACTGTGCAAGCCAAAAGCCAGCTCCCAGATACTTCCTTGGATCAGTCCCAAGGAGAAACCAGCACCAAAAGAGGCCTTCAGACTGTCAAACTCCTAGGATTAGATTCTCAAATTCTGCATTAATACATCTCTGCTGACCTTATAGCAAAGTTAAGGAGTATTAATGGCTAGTGTCCACAAAGACTGAAATGTAAATAATTCCCTTTCTCCAAGACTTAGTTCAATCCCTTGTTACTTTCCTAAAGGTCTTATTGTTGGCCTCAGATTCCCCTCCCTGAACCAGTTCATAATGAAAGATAGCTATGATAAAATGAAGATGTTTTACCTGTCATCTGCCGCACTACATGAAGAATTATTTCTACAAGGGACAAAGGGTTCACCCTGAAATAAAGAGATGGTAACATGAACAACTGAAGTTTTAATAGCAATTAAGTTTAATAATGAACTTTAGAATTAAAATATTGATCTTAAAATGTAAGGTATTTCCTAAATTTTAAGTATTTTAAAATCTTTACCTGTGTTCAAACTCACTGATAAAGTTCTCATAAAGCTGTAAATCAAAGAAAGAGGTAGTAAGTTTAGCAGTACAAGTGTGTTTTGGTTAACAAGTCAAGTTGATCATTAGTATATCTAGGACACTATCTTACAGTTTGATTAGCGTGCGTGGAATTCCTTACAATAAATTATTAAGCACCTGGTCAGCAGTAGGCCATAACACCTTTGTTACAGCTCATGCCTTGTCTGGAGTGAGAAACATCAAAACCCAGGTTTGGACAACATGCCAAGCCAAACCATGGATAATACCAGTAGGCCCAGAGAAAGAGCAAGGCAGATGTGATCTCTCTCCAAGAGCTCATGCATTTACACTAAGCTATGGTTTAGCTTCGGTACGCTGGCTTGCTCATGTCCACAGAATGGAAGATGGCAGGATCCCTAAGGACCTGATCTACAGCGAGCTGGCTTCTGGCACCAGGCCAATTAGCAGAACAACTCTGTGCTACAAAGATGTCCGCAAATTATGTGACATGAAGGCTGGCAACACCAACCCTGCTCTTACCAGTAAAACATTTTATCCTAATATTGAACTGAAATCTATCTTTCTGTAACTGAAACCAGTCAGTCCTGCCCTCTAGGTATAACAAGTATGTGATCATTTCTATGTGAGAGCCTCTATTTCAGGGGTGTCAAACTCAAATTCATCGGGGGCTGCATCAGCAGTTTGGTCACCCTCAAAGGGCCGGTTGTATCTGTAGGACTATGTGTCCACTCTTTATTATCATAAATTATTGTCACTGCATTCAATTATTACTGTTTTTTGTAATAATGTAGACAGTCCAGAAGGATGTTATGGTTGATTGTATCAAAGGCCGCTGAGAGATCCAGCAGAACTAGGAAACAAAGTTGTTACAAAGAATGAGCCCTAATGAGACGATTGCTGCAATCCTATGTGCATTTACTTGAAACTCCTGTCGAAGAAAGTGAGGCTGGCTTCTGAGTAAACATACACGGCATGGGGCTGTAAATAAAATGTGTGGGTGGGTGGGTGGGAGAGAGAGAGAGAGAGAGAGAGAGAGCTCTGACAGGAAAGCATCAACATGCCTTGTGCACTCTCATTTTCCTTGGCTAATTCCCCTGCCCCCCCCATCTCGGGTTGCCATTGCATAGCGCAAAAGGCGAAAGAGCGCGAGCGCGCTGCCTGCAACTGGATCTCCGGCTTCTTCCTTTCCTTCCCCAAGGCGGGAGGGAGAGATCAAGGCGGAGCTGCTGGCAGGGCGGAGAGCGAGCCGCCCAATTGTGTGACCGAGTGATGGAAGGGCTGCAAGGAGCTGCGTCCGATCTCCTCCCAGGAATGTGCCAGCGGGACTGACATGTGCCGGAAGGCGGGGAGAACTGCCCAGCGCCGCTGCGTGGAGTCCAACTTGTGGAGCTGAGATAGAGAGCCGGGCGCCAGATCGCCTTCCTCGCTTGGCTTGCCGCGAAATTGCAAGAGGAGGAGGGCGTCGGTGGGGGGCGGGGAGCGGAGGGGGTGCCAGGGAACACAGCCCCCTCCCACCACGGCCATCATCATCGCCGCCCCCACTTTACATTTATTTTAAGGGTGTTTGGAGTGTGTGTGCTCGCCCCTCTCTCTCTCCCACTCACACCCCCCCCACCAGCCACCCCATATTCCCAAAGAACAACTTGATCAAGGGGATCGTCGGTCCTGGAAAGGCTGGCTGTGCAAAGATGGAGAGGGAGGCGAAATGAAGTGGAAGGGAAGCCCCGGGCTGGTGAAATCCAGCGCGGAGGAGAAGAGGACGCCTCCCGCAGGGCGAGTTTGCACGCCCTGTTTCTCCGAGGAGAAAGACTCCCCCTCCGCGGCACGGAGAGACCTGACCTTCCGCTTGCTCTTTTTGAGCAGTGAGCGGGAGAGAGAAGCCAGCTGCCCGCCTCGCTTCGGCCCCCGACGACGAAGGCGCAAGTTGAGAGACACAGGGAAATTTGAAGCAGCAGCCACGTCCTTAAGAGCGACGGGGGGAGGCGAGTAGGGAGCCGCACCATGTAAACTTTCTTGTGTCAAAAAAAAAAAAAGAAAGAAAAGAAAAGAAAAGTGAGAATAAAAGGTGAAGGCTGGCGGCCGGCGGCGGCTAAACAGGCCACATGACGAGGTCTGGCGGGCCGGATTTGGCCCTTGTGTTTGACACCCGTGCTCTATTTCAACAGTGCTATCATGTGGTGGACTCTGCCTCTTTGGAGGTTTGTAAGCAGAGGTTGGATGACCATCTGTCACGGATGCGTTAGCTGAGGTTTTTGCATTGCAAGGGGTTGGGCTACATGACGTTTGGGTCCCTTCCAACTACTATATCCCCTCTCAATCTTCTTTTCCAGACCAAACATATCCAGTTCCTTCAATCTTTCTTGTTTTTCATACAACTGTCTGTCATGTTGTCCTCCTTTAAAGCAACCCTTCATTCATTTAGTATTTTCTATAATACAGGGTTGGCTGGATCCAGAACTGGTACATCCTTCTCCTGCCATTTTAACAGGTGGGTGGGGCTACCCACCTGTCAATCACCCAATGTAATATGACACCAGGTGATTCAAACTTCAAACCATTGGAGTAGGCACAGGCTTATATTTGCCGCTGGTACTGTGGTCCCACAGTACTGCCTGTTTTTTTTTATACGCTTGGGCTTATTTCTGATTTTAGCACTAAGATAGGAGAAAGGAGATCCCTTATTTCCAGTCTTGACAAACAGCACTGGAGATAACAGATTATCCACGCCTGATGTCATATGGTGTCAGATGACTGACAGGTGGGTGTTGTTTGTGCCAAAAATGACCTGGTGGTCAAAATTCAGAGGACTGGTAGGCATAACTAGGCCTGGGAGCAGAGGTTCCCCACCAATGATTTAATCTGGCAGTTTATCATTGCAATGTCATCTCATACCATTTTGCATCATCTATTTAGAGAACGAGCATTATACAGTATTTACAAAATGCACCCTTTGACTCCTGGAAAGAATAAAAACGTGATCCCAAATGCCAAAAAAGTGATACAGAAGTCAACAGAATTTACAAAGCAAAAAAATTAGGACATAAGCTACAAAGCCCTGGAACTGATGTGTTCAGTGGAGTTCCCCTAAATGCCTCATCATTGGCAACGTTTGTATTCACAAGAAGCCAAGGGTAAACATTTACACTACTCTTAATTTTAATTTTTCTTATTTATGGTAATTCCAAGAATCTTGTAAATTAGAATACAAATAATGCAACCCATCACCATCTCAATGACTAAGGTTAAGACTTAGGAGATTACCTTGATGAGTCCATCTCCTTGGGCAAAGCAGGGGTCTTGCACAAAGTCCAGAACCTGAAGAGTCAGCTGGTGCCAGAGTCTGTAAAACACACACACATGACAATGGAAATGGCAAAGGACAGGCTGTCAATTTTACAAAATGAGGGAGAACAAGGGAAGAGTACAGCAGCCAGGAATAGAATAGAAGCCCTTGCACGACACACACACACACACACACACACACGTTTTGGCCACCAGGCCAGCCCAGAGCCTCAATGGAGACGGCCGAGTGCTTCACACTTCCGACCCTGTTGTGCTTATGCCATCTTGGCCCAAGGCAAGCGACGCGTGCCTATCCACCATTTTCCTAAGGCAAGCAGCCTGCCCACACATCTCGTGAGTGAGGCCCGATGCACCAGCTTCCTGAACGGGGGGGGGTGGCCTTCAAGAGCAGGAGACACCCCCCCAGAGTCGCCCCAGGGAAAACGGCAGAGCGCCCCTTCCCCACCTCCCGCAGGCTCCCCCAGCCGCCCCCCCCGCCTCACTTCTTGTTGTAGAGCTCCTCCAGACGGTGCCACACGGCGGCCTGGCCGGGCCCCGAGCTTTGGCTCTGCTGCAGGAAACCCGGCACGTCCTTCATGGCGAGGCCGGGACCGGGGAAGCAGCGGGAGACAGAGAGAGCACTTCACCCTCAGGAGCAGGAGCAGGAGGCCGGGCCACCCTGCCGCCGGAAATGCACACTCACTTCCGGCACCTTCGGCGCGGAGCACGCCGGGTACCGTATTGGCCTCGCTTTGCGCAGCATTGCTTCTCGATCTCGCCCCACGCGCTGGGGGGGGAGGAGGGGCGAGAGTTCCGGGGGAGGGCGGGCAGGCCCGCTGGTCGCCATGGCAACGGCCTCCGCTTCGCGAGCGAGCCGGCGAACTTCTCTCGGGCGCCCCCTGCAGTCGTTGGGTGCCGGTTGCCATGGCGGCCCGCCTCCGCGCGTGACGTGGGGGTGGGGATGCTGACGTCACTCGCCACCGCCTCGCGCCACGAGGAGGACGTCGAGTGTCGCAGCTTCGTGAAATAAAACATTGCCGCCACCGCCTCGCTATACCTGTCGGCGGCAGAGAACATGTCTCCTAGGGGAGAGCCGCTAGGGCCCCTCCGCGCCGGCCATAAGTGACCTGGACACGGTCCCTCAGGTTCCTTTTGCTCCCTTTGCTCAGGTGCATCGCCACCGTCGGACGGAGGTTTGGGCAGGGAAGCGTCGCTCTCCCGTTTCTGGCCCCTCCGTCCCTTTCTGCCCAATCTTAGAACTGAGGGAGGTGCGGGTTCCTTTGCTGTAAGTGGCATCTTGCGACGCAAAGAACAGAATTGTTGCACTCATTGCTGTATATTGGTTTCGAAAATGCTAAAAGGAATAATATCCTGGATGGGGATGTGTGTCTGAAGTGGGCCTTGCCTTAAAATGAATGAAACACAGAGCTGTGTTTCTTGGGCAATTACGGCAGTCGGAGACTAGTGACGCCCCATAAAAAAGCCACTGTGAACGAGATTACACCCAGCAGAACCTACTGCAAAGAAAAAAGCTATTGCCAGTTCAGAGCAGTACTGTGTAACAAGCAGTTTTGTAGCATAATACCTTAAGTGGTGGCGCAATTCATCTCCAAAAAGCTACTGTAAGGGTGGTGGGGACCTTAAGAGATGGATTTTTAGTATGAGCAGATCTAGGCTCTTCTTTTAGGAACATTAAGGTAAAGAGCTTTTCAGCTGTTCTTTCAGGCTCAAGATCACTGAAAGCAAACAAGAGTGGTGCTTTGCCCTACTGCTCCACTCCAGATCTTCTGTAACCTTCAGACCACAAATACAACCCAAACAGGAAACTGGCGAGATACAGAGTGATACCAGCCTCCTGCCCCCCTGCATGTGTAGAGCCATTAATAAAGGGAAGAACACAGAAGACATAGAAACCTTCTCTTGATTTTTCTTTCTCTGGTGCAGGACTAGGCGGCTGGAGGGAAATGAACTGGAGATTATATTACAGAGTCTCTTCAGGAAGGCATGCACTTTGTGCTGAAAGTTTTCAGAGACCAATAGGTAAGTAACAGTCTAATACAGAAGAATATGAATGAACTGGAAGGGGCATATCAGATTTTGGAAGAGTTAGGAGAGCTAAGACCTGGAATGGAAAAGCTTACAGCTACTCAGGGAGATTGTTGGAATGTTTAGTATAAATAGGAAAGTTGAATATTGGAAGGATTCTCACAATGCATCAGACTGTTGGCTGAGTACTCTGACAGACAACTGCTCTCCAAGTTCTCAAGTGGACAGAGGCCTTGGCCCTGCTACCTGAGATAACTAGAGATGCCGGGGACATTGTGCATGGAAAACATACAGTCTGCCACTGAGCTATGAACCAATTTAGAGTAGGTATTTTTTTACATCTATCTGTCTGTAGAACACTTTTAGCCTGCAAAATGGTTTATAACTCTCACATCCTCCGAGGAGCCATATGAAGGAAGTGCAGTAAAATGTAACCTCAGACTTTTGCAGTGTATCCCCCTTTATCCCCTTTTGTTGCATAAAGTGTGAGTCTCCTTTGGAGCAAAATCCTGTTGCTTTGTCTATACAACTGCATGAGGAGATACTTAATAATAATTTATGTTCTTTGGCAAATACTAGTCATATAGTCAGTGTGGTGTAGTGGTTAAGAGCGGTAGTCTCGTAATCTGGTGAACCGGGTTCGAGTTTCCGCTCCTCCACATGCAGCTGCTGGGGCCAGTCACACTTCTCTGAAGTCTCTCAGCCCCACTCACCTCACAGGGTGTTTGTTGTGGGGGAGGAAGGGAAAGGAGAATGTTAGCCGCTTTGAGACTCCTTCGGGTAGTGATAAAGCGGGATATAAAATCCAAAACTCTAACTCTAAACTCTCATATATAATACAAGGCTGGGGAACCTTTCCCATTCTCCAGGGCTCCATTTGCGGGGGGAGAAGTAGTCAAGGCTATACACCTGTAGTGTTTAGGTCCAAGGCCAAAAGAAGGCAGGGTCAAAGCATACATAGACACTCACATCCCATTCACAAACCTACATACAGTGGTACCTTGGTTTACGAACTTAATCCGTTCCGGAAGTCCATTCTTAAACCGAGGCGCGCTTTCCCTAATGAGGCCTCCCGCTGCCGGTGCCTTTCCACCATTTGGATTCCCTTCTTAGACCGAGGTAATGTTCACAAACCGCGACACTACTTCCGGTTTTGTGGAGTTCGTAAGCCGAATCGTTCGTAAACAGGACTGTTCTTAAACCGAGGTACCACTGTACATAACACGTGCACATATACACACTGTATCAGGCCGCCAGTGTAGTGCCCTCTCTTCAGCAGACAGGTTGGTCAATGATCAGGAAGCATCAGAGTCATAGTTCAACAACCTCTGAAGAGCACCACGTTCTGCTTGCATGGCTTCTGTGCTACATGCTGAGAAAGGGACTCCCTTTCTCCATGCTTAGCCCAGGAACTGCCAATGGGGGAAGAAAGTAATCTCTTCCTTCAGAAGCAGCTCAATTAACTTTTGTGCTGCACAGTGTGAAAGGGACTCCTTTTCTCACTGTGCAGGATAAAAATGCACCACACTGCCCATGAAGGAAGAACTGCTCAGCTCAGCTCATGGGCAGCTCAGCAGCAGGACTCAGCCATGTTCCCTCTTCCCCACTACTGAGCAGTAATTTTCAGTAAGCTGAGCAGCACAGGGCAGCGGGAGGTTTTCCTCCCCTCACTATGATCTGTTCTCCCCGGGCTACTTCACGGATTGAATATTACAGCTCAGCAGTGGGGGCGAGGGCGGGGGGGGGGAAGGGGGCTAAGTAGATGGATCTGGGAAAAGACTGGCAAGCTAAAGGGCCGGCCACACCTGGATTATGAAGTGAAGGTTCCCTACCTCAAAATAAATGTTTAATTAACTAAATTAGGGTTAATCCTATTGCTCCCACTTTACTTGTGAGTAAGCCTCATTAAATTTAATAGGACTTCATAGTAGACATCGTTGGGATTGCACTGTTAAATGGGTTTTCTATTCCTCAGTGAAATTTCATATAACCAACTATTACAAGCCCTGCATTTGAAAATGGTTGTTATGTTTTATAGGATGGAGGAATTGCTGGATATGTTCCCAGCAACATTATTATGGGAATTTTTCTGGTTCTATGGCCTGCAGAAAACTGCTCCTAACTTCATTGAAACCCACCTTCGTCTTTCCAAATGGAAATCTTTTCTTTCAAAGAACTCCAGAAAGCAGAATAGAAAAGATTGCAAGTACCTATGGAGTGAGGTATGATATCCTTTCTCCTGCTCATTTTGACTTTGAATTCTTCCACCTTCCTTCACAAAACGTGCTTGAGACGCTTGTATTTATTTGTGTTTCTCTACCTTATCCCATAAGAATATAAGAATCTCCTTGACTTAGTGCTCTCCTGGTTCTTCTTTTGCAGCTGTGGCTTCAGTTATTTTAGAATTCGAGCAAAGGAAGTGTTGAGAGCGCACTTTAAATCATTTGACACCAGACACAGGACGAGTAAAGCCACATTGTTAAAAACAATGCCAATTCACTGCTAATACGAACTGAGGGAGTTTTCTCCCAGTAATCTCGTTCTGGTGAATGGCATTTGAATGTGTTTCTTTGTAACCCGTTGCATATGTTGCTGGCAGGCCCTTTTCATTATCCACTGCTCTAATGGTATTCTTTGGAGGTGGCAGAGGAAGAAATGATGGTCAAAAGGAGCAGCTCACCCTGAAGGATGTGACAGAACTAATTCAGAAGAAAGAATGCAAGAGAGTCGTGGTGATGACTGGAGCAGGGCTCAGCACTCCTAGTGGTATCCCCGATTTCAGGTAACACTCAAACTGCTGTCAAGGCCTTGCTCTCTTGACTGTACAGACATTTCCCCTACTCTGTAAAGTCTCCACCTTGCGGAAACTCTTCAGCAGCCACCACACTGCCCAGTCATAGATGGAGCAGCTTCAAGAAGCAGGGCACAGGCAGTAAGAGTAAACCAGGCTCTTTTTTTGGAATTGAATGAAGAGGCTGGTACTGTAGGTGTAACTTTTTTTCCTATCCCAACATTGCGCCAAACAAGGTCCATTAATGGTATAGTCCCTTAATGCTAAATAAGTGCCATCTGGTTTTATGCTACATGGAGGATGCCACAATAGGTCCTTTAACTATTTAATTTGACTTTCTTGCACCCAAAATTTCCCCTTTTATGGATTTCGACCTATGTTCAAAAACAAATAGCAACAGAATCCAGAGCAAATACACCAGGTGTTGTGCATGACGTGACAGACACGCATTTGTCAACAGAATGCTATTTCACCAGTCACACACCTCCCCCTCCTTCATGTGGCTTGTCAGCTGCCTTTATTTAATTTTTGAAAGCATTTTGTGAACACTTATGCGTATAACCATTCAGCCATTGCCTTATTTTTTTAAAAAGAAACTTTTAACAGATTTTTTTTAAAAAAAATAAGGCAGTAAAGTGAAAAACTGCTATTGGGGATTAGAGAGGGATGTTTTAGGTGGCTTTATGCAGTGCCAGCCAGTGTCCTGCACAATCATCTTCTGCTTTGAACTTTCAGCACATTTCTTTTTTCAGAGAAGGAAGGCATGTTTAATCTGAGTATTTATGTAAAGATCTTTGGTCTCAGGGAAGTGTCACATTTTGCTGTAGTTCTCATTTGCTTGTTTGATCCTGCTGTGCTGATAAAGAGTGAAACAATATGCTACTATATCAAATCAAAACACCCTTACCCTGTTTGAAGTTCTCATGCTATCAGCTACCCTCCTTCTCATTTCTGGTATCATTGTCACAATGTCTCCTCCCATCTTAAAAGCATCATTGCTTCTTGAGAGAGGCCTCCACTGCTGAATTCTCCTTCCTGTTCACCATAAGCTGTTCACATATCAACTGATAGGCCATTTTGGTGGTATGTCTTCTTGACAAACTTGTGATAAAATATTCCTCAACTGTGTTTCCTCATATGTGAATTTACTTCTAATAGGGGTATACCGGGGACACGGGTGGCGCTGTGGGTAAAACCTCAGCGCCTAGGACTTGCCGATCACATGGTCGGTGGTTTGAATCCCCGCGGCGGGGTGCGCTCCCATCGTTCGGTCCCAGTGCCTGCCAACCTAGCAGTTCGAAAGCACCCCCGGGTGCAAGTAGATAAATAGGGACTGCTTACCAGCGGGAAGGTAAACGGCGTTCCATGTGCTGCGCTGGTGCTGGCTCGCCAGAGCAGCTTCGTCACGCTGGCCACGTGACCCGGAAGTGTCTGCGGACAGCGCTGGCTCCCGGCCTGTTAGAGAGATGAGTGCACAACCCTAGAGTCTGTCAAGACTGGCCCGTACGGGCAGGGGTACCTTTACCTTTACCTTAGGGGTATACCAGCACATGAAAAACCTTTGCAATGGCTTGGTTTCCTGGCATGTTCTGTAGTTTTCTTCCCCTCTTGTCTCCACAGGTCCCCTGGGAGTGGCCTCTACAGTAATCTCCAGCAGTATAATATTCCTTATCCAGAAGCCATATTTGAGCTCAATTACTTTTTCCACAATCCTAAGCCTTTCTTTACATTGGCCAAGGAGTTATACCCTGGCAATTACAGGCCCAACTATACTCATTACTTTCTCCGACTTCTACTTGACAAAGGGCTCCTTCTGCGTCTGTACACACAGAACATTGATGGGCTGGAGAGAGGTACGTCTCCCCATCCCCTCAATTTGGATCTAAGAAATAAAAATCTAGGCTAATGTTAGAGATACTGCAGCAAACCTTTGGATGGCAGGGAGAGTATTCGCCACTTCCTTTGCGTTGATGGAACGTTTGGGCTGAATTGACCTTAACTCTGAGTTTTGTGTTCTAGTTGCTGGGATCCCTCCAGATAAACTAGTTGAGGCTCATGGTACATTTGCTTCTGCTACATGCACTGTCTGTCGAAGGTCATACCCTGGTGAAGACTTCAGGGTAAGTGACAGCACAGCAGATACACCACTCCAGGAATATCAAGCATACTCCAAAGGGTGCTGGTTATGTTTGGCTTAGGGACCAAGAATCTTGTTTTGCGGGGTTCACAGGTTTGCTTTTACTTTCATTAATGCTTGGGGTGTTCAATTAATAGTACCAATGGAAAGTGTCCCTTGTAATTTCAAGTGATGTAATGTGTGGCTTATACTGCCTGATTGTGGACTCATATCCTGCTTTCTGTGTTATCATTATAGGAGGATGTGATGGCTGACAAGATCCCCAAGTGCCCTGTGTGTACTGGAATGATCAAACCTGACATTGTTTTTTTTGGAGAGGAGCTCCCTCATCGGTTCTTCTTACACGTGACAGATTTTCCTATGGCAGACCTGCTCTTTGTCATCGGAACCTCCCTTGAGGTCTGCGCTATCATGAACATGGGAAGAGAATGAAAGCTGGGGTATTGAGACAGAGTGGTTCGGGGACTCTGGAAAGCAATGTGGATCCAAAGGGAAAGCGAGGGTGGCAATTCAGGGATCAACAAAGTCGAGTGCATCTTGGGAAATGTGTAAGAAGGATTTATAAATAGCTCGGGAAGCATAGATTGCCAAAAGCGAAGAAATGATTTTGTGTATCTAGTGATGTAGGGAGAGGCAGAATCAGTGTTGTTGTCTCTGGTACAATGTATGGCCAAGGGCAGGGGTCAGCAAACTTTCTCAGCAGGGGGCTGGTCCACTGTCCCTCAGACCTTGTGGGGGGCCAAACTATATTGGGGGGGGGCAAATTCCTATGCCTCACAAATAACCCAGAGATACATTTTAAATAAAAGCACACATTCTACTCCTGTAAAAACACGCTGATTCCTGGACCGTCTGTGGGCCAGATTTAGAAGGCGATTGGGCCACATTCGGCCCCCAGGCCTTAGTTTGCCTACCCATGGCCAAGGGTATGTACCCTGAAATAGGAAGGCTTTGGTTCAAATATTAGATTAGCTACAAACTCACTAGATGGCCGTGAGCAAATCATTTTCTTACAAGCCTCAGCTATACTCTTTCACTTAGGAATAATATTGCTAACCTACCTACCTGACTTGTTGAAAGGATAACCTGAAATAATCTTAAGTTGAATTGCTTTGAGTGGGCATTTAGCAGAACCACTGTCCAATAGGTAATATATTTCCTTTTTGTTAGCAGGTTCTCATTTACACTACCATATAGCCCTCTTCATTAACCAGTATTTGGGTGCTTATTACAGTTGTTCGATAGATCAATAGATCTCAAGGTGTTATGAATTTCTTTTGAGCTGTGACTTTCACTTTGGAGCAGAATATGCAGCCTTTTCCTTTTGGTGTTTGGATTTTAGGTGGAGCCATTTGCCAGTCTAGTTTATGCAATTCGTAGCTCTGTTCCACGTGTACTGATCAATCGGGAACTGGTGGGACCATTCGCTCATCAGCCACAGCACAGTGACGTGGCTGAACTGGGAGACGTCATCATTGGAGTAGAAAAAGTAGTGGAATTGTTGGGCTGGAAGGAGGAATTGCAAGAATTAATGAAGAAGGAAAAAGAAAAGGTATGAAAGTTCGAGTTGAAAAGCTTTTATTCTCTCACCCCATTTCACTTGCAGAATCTCTCATGAGTACAAACATTGCAGGAGTTCTGAAAACAGCAGTTAATCACCTGTCTTGACATAATATGACCTGTACAAGATGGGGGGGGGGGTATCTGGAATACCAGTAGTACATGTGAAAAGGTTCTAGAGGTCTTGGTAGACCACAAGTTTAACATGAATCAACAGTGTGATAACAGCAGCAAAAAAGCTAATGCTATTCTAGGCTGCATTAACAGAAGTATGATGTACAGATCAAGGGAAGCAATGATATCACTCTATTCTGTCTTGGTCAGACCACACTTGGGCACTGTGTCCAGTTCTGGGTGCCACAATTTAAAAAGGATATTGACAAGCTGGAACATGTGCAGAGAAGGGTGACCAAGATGATCAAGGGTCTGGAGACCAAACCTCATGAGGAATGGTTGAGGGAGTTTTTTTCTCCTGCTCTGGAGGGTAGGACCCAAACAAAAGGTTTCAAGTTACATGAAAGGAGATTCTTAGTAAACATCAGGAAGACCTTTTTAACTGCAAGAGCTGTTTGACAGTGGAAGGGGCTCCCTCGGAAGGCGGTGGACTCTCCTTCATTGGAGGTTTTTAAGCAGAGGTTGGATGGCCATCTGTCATGAATTTCAAGGGATTGCACTATTTGATTATGATTAAATTTGTATACCACCCTTCATTCGAAGATCTTAGGGAGGTAAACAGCATAAAAATACAAAATAAGAACAAATCAAATGAATGCCCTCCCCAAAAAACAATGGACTAGATGAGTCCCTTCCAACTCTATAGTTCTGTGATTCTGTGACGATAGAATTAATGACATTTTCCTATGTATTTGTTGTATTCTTACAACTCAACAGTGATATGCTTTCATTTAACTGTAAACGAATCATGTCCTTCTCTGTGTTGTTGCTTTTGCACTTTAGTCAGTATCAGCTGTTGAATGGATGGACTTTGGAACAAGCAAGCTTCATAGACAAATAATGTTCTTTCTATTTTTAGCTGGATGCAAAAGACAAATAGGAAATCTGACCCCTGCTGTTGGAAATGATGTTTACCTCCTAAAGGACTGTTCGCTGCAGCCAAAGGTTACAGCAATAAGAGCAGAGAACTGGAGGAAAATATGCTCTCCATTGTGCTAGCACCCAGGAGGTTAGAAAAACTAAAAATCATTCAGAGAGTCTAGTTGCACATGGATGTCCTCTGAAGGATCTTGGGAGGTGATGATCAAATGGCAGGTTGTGAATTTGCTTTTGCATAAGAGGCTCTAGATACCAGAGTGGAAGATGAAGATGTACATTATAGCTGCTACTTCCCATTAAACTTCACCTCTTAAGCTGTTTCTCCAAACAAACTCTTCAAATGTTTTCTAAACCATCACAGATCTTGTGGTGTTGCACTAGTAGCCTTAGCTGCAATAGCATTCATCACAGTTATGCTGAATCTGACATTGTACCAACTTGTGAAAGAATTTGGATTAGGCCAACTTTCATAACTAAGCTTAGAAGTTTGACTGTTCAGTCAGTGTGTCTTCTGCTGTAGCTTCTGTGAAGATCAATCTGAAAGCTGATATTCTAAAATAATTTGATGTATTAATATGCAGTGTATCATTTATGTAACATGAAAAGATAAGGGGTGTGTAACTACAATTCTAGCAAGAAATGACAACAATGAAAAGTGTAGTGAAGCTGCTGTTTGAACTTGAATGAACACTTATTGAGTGGCAATAATTAGTCAAAATAAAAGCATGTTTCAGCAGTCTCTCAATATTCTGTCTGCAGATTTCTCAGTATTTAAATTCTAAACTTGTATTTTCTGTCCTTTATTCATTTAATGGGGGGAAAAGTATTGTGGGCATCATTCACATAATTGTCTGACATTTTTCTGGGTGTTATTCAGCATCTTTGAATGACAGGCTTTTATCTGTTTAAAAGAGATGCTGGGCTTCTGGGTTTCTTCTTTCAATATGTAATTGTTGACAAAGAGATGAAAGGAAGCTCTGGGTGGTTAGAACAGTGTTATTTGTAGTGTTACCCTGAATTAACATTGAAATTGTGGAACCTATTAAATCTAGTACTGCTACTTTATGAACTTTAAATCACCATGAAGATGCCAACACCACTTTGTACATGTCAAGTGTGTGTAGCTTAATATTAACTTTGTGGTTGTGCCATCCAATAACCATATAAGCCAAGGATTACCCTTTGCTTTTAGGAATTGTGACTAGTTTGCTCCCCCAATTTGAAGAACTCTACTTATTTCTCTCCAATTACAATCAACCTCAGAGGCTGGATCCCCTGCCCCCAAGCTCTATTTTCGGCAAGGCCGTTTTTGCAAAGAGCTTCTGATAATTTGTATGTGCTAACAGATTTGTTTATATGAATGTGTGATTCAAATATTGGATTGGAAAGCTCTTGAATTTAGGATAAGCCATTCAAATGAGACATTTGAATCACCAACCCTTCTGAAGAGTGTGTGTGTGTGTTTGTGTGTGTTTGCTATATACTATCACCTCTTACTTCCCTTTTCGCCAAACTAAAAATGCTGCAACATTTCCTTACATGTGAGTACCTCCATCATATTGGTTGCCTTTTTCTAAACCTTTTCCAACTCTACAATATTGTTTTTGAGGTGAGGCAACCAGAACAGTACAGTACACAGTATTTCAAATGTTGTTGCACCCAAGATTTGTATAACAGTAGTTTTATTTTCAGCTCCTTTCCTAATGCTCCCTAGCATGGAATTTGCCTTTTTCACAGCTGCAGCACAGTGGAGCAGCATCTTCCATGGAGCCATACACTACAACCCCAAGGTGTTCCTGGTCACTGTCAGTTTAGAACCCATGAGTATACACATGAAGTTAAATTTGACTTTTTGGTCCTGATATACATCATTTTTTTAGGGGACGCGGGTGGCGCTGTGGGTAAAAGCCTCAGCGCCTAGGACTTGCCGATCGCATGGTCGGTGGTTCGAATCCCCGCGGCGGGGTGCGCTCCCGTCGTTCGGTCCCAGCGCCTGCCAACCTAGCAGTTCGAAAGCACCCCCAGGTGCAAGTAGATAAATAGGGACCGCTTACCAGCGGGAAGGTAAACGGCGTTCCGTGTGCTGCGCTGGCTCGCCAGATGCAGCTTGTCACGCTGGCCACGTGACCCGGAAGTGTCTGCGGACAGCGCTGGCTCCCGGCCTATAGAGTGAGATGAGCGCACAACCCTAGAGTCTGGCAAGACTGGCCCGTACGGGCAGGGGTACCTTTACCCTTTATACATCATTTTACACTTGCTTCCACTGAATTGCTTTTGCCCTTTCCTTCAGTTTGGAGAGTCATTTTGGAATTCTTCATAATCTTTGTTTTAATGACCCCAAACAATTTTATTTTAATGACAAGGAAGACAAAAGGAATATCAATGGCCATAAGGCATGATGGCTACATGAACAACAGGGGAAGGCTTGGTTGTGGGCTTCCTGCAAGTGCCTGATGATCACTCTGGGAAACAGGATACTAGGCAGAAACGTAAGTGATTAATAACCTTTTAACTATATATTAGGAGGACGGGGTATGCAGAAGAGTCATAATTATATTCAGTGTTACTTTGTGGAGATAACCCACAGTTTCCAACATTTTCAAACAGTACAGCTAGAATCAGAGGCAGCTGGAAGATCATCCCGTCCGATGCAATGGGCGGGATACTCCACATATGTGATCACTACAGACTGACTGATAGACACCAATGGCCTCAGTGAGGTTTAGTTTGTTGAAAGCACAGAAAGTTCCACCGCTCACCCACATGGCATTGTGCTTGAGTACAACACTGCTATAACTGTACTCCTCCCAGTTTGGCTGCAGTTACATTGCCAAGAAATGTAATTTCTAATTGCTCAGATACAATCACCCAAATAATCAACAGATGCACGCATATTGTTATCTGAAGGCTTCATTTATTCTAGTGAAAATCTTTATATTTGTGCTAAGTTCAGAAACTGTTGGCAAAGTTGGAAACAAAGTAGGAGATGGGGGCTGCTTTTTTAAAACAGAAAAGCCTATGATCAGGATGAAGGTACATAACAGGGTGAATGCAGAGTGCTGTGGATAGAGGGGAACTGAAGCAGATTTAGAGTGCGGTTAAGCAATTGGTCACCACCTTTTGTCTGAAGAGCACAGAGAGTGAGAGTAGTCCAGAAACTAAACATGGTAGAAAGAGGAACATGGTGTCAAGGTTATAGTGGGGATTAGAGGCCTCCTGGCCCCAAATTATCAGCAAACACAAACATTAATGTCGCTGTGAGCAAAGGATATCTCAAGAGGTTTGCACATTATCTCAGATAATGGACACATACCGCACATATACATACTATTTCAACAATGCACGTTTCCTTACCTGCATGTTTCCATACACATGTAATGTGTCTTAAAGGAACTGCCTAAAAATGTGACTGATTGCCACACACATTGCACTTATATGCCTCCAGGAGTATGCTTTCTTGCATTTCACATGTAAAAAAAAAAGCAGGCTTCTCATTGTTCACACATTTCTATAATATGCCCCAGTCGTGTATGCAAATAGACATTTACATTTGCCAAGAGTATCCGTGTGTTTTAAACACCACCACGCTGTATGGTTGCTGCATTATGTGCTTTGCACAAGTATCAATGCACGCACGCACACACGCACACACATATATATCACCTGTGTGTATCACATTTTAGTCCCATATAAGTAACTCTGCAGTGCACTCACAGCACCCTTAAGTGCTACTAAACCTTGATATAATAAGAGATTGCCCTTCCCTCCATGAAATTTCTGCTCAAAAACCCCTGGAATTGGAGTGTAATAATCTTGTGGACACAGAGGGAAAACAGATCAAAAGAGCTAAGCTGTAAAGAGCTCTCTAAGGTAGGAGTGTTATAGAGCTAGAGAAGAAACAGATGTTATACCACTCTGGGCGGTGGAGATCCATCCCACGGGAAGTCCTTTCTTAGGACTGGTCTCCTGATACAGCACCTGTTACAGAGAGAGAATAGAGGGTCCATAGGTTTCTGAGGAACAGGAAATGTTTTTTCAGTCCAATTCCAAGTCAGAGTCAGATGATAACCTCTCCTCAGATATCTGATGGACAGCATCCTCCAAGGAGGTTACATTGAGAGAGGTTAAATTGCCATCTGGATTGACCCCCATTGGTTGGATGACTCGTTGTCTGCAATGGAAAGGAGAAATAGCACAGTCAGAGAGGGGCTCCTCATGATAACATTCTTAGAGAAACCATCAAGGGGAAGCCTACATTAAGGACAGACCAGTAGTATGCCCACTTTGAGAAATGTAATTCATTTGTTGATCCTAGCAGAAATAGTATAAAATAGCCATACATACCATCACCAGTAAAAACAGCCCCAACCCTCCCTCAGTTTGGCATCTGGTACATGTGCTGACACTGCTTTGCTCACATCCAGAATATAAATACTCACACCATGGACAAATGCTATTTGCTCAACTACAGATGTTGCTCTATTAACATTTCTAGAAGAGGATTTGAAGCTTTTGGATGAGATTCAATTACTACTGGTTTTATATGACAATCTACAATAACCCAACAATCTACAGATCATCAGGTTGTTAGGCAGATTTCTTTTCAGGCACCTAAGATTGGAGATTGTAGAAACTGAATCTGGTGCCATTGGCAAAGCATGTGCTCAGTCACTGAGCTACCTTTAAGGATCAAGTGGAATGACTTTTCCACTGCTTTTCTATCTCCTAGGGCCCTTTTAGTCCATCAAGGGAACTTGGTCAGTGGATTCCAAATACAAAGAACATTTTTCAGTCATAAATATTCTTCAGGAGAAACTACTAAGCAACAACAAATCAGAATGTAGATTTCTTAATCCCATTTAATCAAATGTAAATGAAATACTGTATAATCAGTGTGTCAAATCAAAGAGTGTTGTTTAGATTTCTTGGGTAGCGAGGATGTACTCTCCAATTTTAGCCAGAAAGCAGTTTTTCATGCTCAGAAACCTGAACTGCCTTCATTCTGACTGAAATCAATTTATATGATGAACCATTTCCACTGAAAGGAAAATATTTTTTGTTTGAAACTCAGTGGGAAATGTGGAGACTAGCTTGCTAATGAAGGCTTTTCCTTCATTTTATGGTGCACTGGAGCTCTATTTTTGGCTTCATCGCTAGTTAAAGGGCACATTAGCCATGCACCAAATGCTAATTATCAGCCTTTCTGAACCTTCATGACATACATCCTGGAAAAGTATAAGGGTGTGATTTTCAGAGAAGTTAAGGTCCAAATGCAAGTTTGTAACAATGCTAAAATTACACTGGAGACCCAGGAAGTAATTGCTCCAAAATCTTTCTCCGCTAATCTAGCTGGAAAATGCCTCAGGGATCCTTCTGATTAGGCCACATCAGCAGCAAAAGAAAGTGACATTGTAGTGGAAATACCATTAATGAAATGCTCAGACTAGCATCTGTCTGTCTAATGCACACTGGAAACATGGGGCATCTGTATAAATAGACTGGCGGCTGCTCAGCAAGATGTCATTTGAACTCCTTAGGTAGATCCTGGATTCCTGCCCGCACTACTCTTAAATGATGTATGAACAACTACTGTAGAGTGAATGCCTGCTGGGAAGGAGAATGGGTGGCATTAGCTGCCATCTGCCTTTGCAATAGTACTTCCTACTAGCAGCTAGCCAGAGTTATCACTACATAGCCTGCAGAATGAACTTTGTGGAGATGACATTCAAATGTATACTGTAGGTA